CGAAACGATTTAAATCCAAAAGAAAGAAGCACGAGGGGAGCTTGGTTTTCCCCCAACCAGACCAGACCAGACCAGACAGGTGGCCATAATGCGGAGAGACCCCCTAAAGTGTCCCATAAATTCATTAATTTGTCGCGCTTTTTTCACACTAGCATTCGCCGTAAAATATTTGTCAGCTTTACGATGGCTTTAATTCTAGCGTCGACGCATTAAAAACTAATGCTGGGAAATTAATTCGAATAAATTCTGAGAATCGTGAAAATTGCGAAAGGGGAAAGCTGGGAAGCTGGGGAGCTGGGGAGGAGGAAGGTGGTGCACCCAGCCGATCCTCATGAATGTCGTTATGGATGTTTGGGCATTTAAATTTAGCAGCCACCGCGAACAGGCGACGATCAGCCCACTGAACGAGAATCTCAGACGAGAATGAATCAGCCAGAAATAGAATCAGAAATAAAGCTACGGCAGTGGCAGTAGAACGATATTTATAGGGACACCCTGGTCCTGGGGGGTATACTAGATCTTAGGATTATCCTATTTTGGTTAGAAGCTATCCCAAAACTATGTTAATATAAACTAACTGGGCTGAGAGATATGGAGAGCTGTTTTAATTCTCATCTCTGAAATAATCAAAGCCTAATTAAGTTTGATTATAAAATGCTAATAAATGCAGCTCATAAAATATGATTAACTGCTAATAGAGATGCAAAACTTAAACAGAAAAAACTGCCATTAAATTACAAAGAAAATTAAATGAATTTGCGATTTAATAAATGTTATTAACGAGGTTTTTAGCCACTCAAAGACCGCTTTCTCATTAATCAGCAATCACTTTCTGCAGAGTATTCGGGCTGTCTCATCGCCTAAACTAAAATATAGATCTTGTTTTATATATACAAAATCGTACGATATCGCAGACAGATGCGATCTGGCCACCTCCCCCATTTGGCCAATCTATTTTGGTGGCCCGTGCGACAAAAGCCAAAACCGAAACAATTTGCCAATGTTTGGACCAGTCTGATAAGATGGGCGGAGGGAGATGGGAGGAGGGGGCTAGACCCTATTTAGTCCACCAGTCAGTCAGTCACTCAGTCAGTCAATCACTCAGTCAATCAGCGGCCCACACCTAACAGTGTTTCTTGGCCAGTTTGTCACTTGGCTGTCCCATTAGCCGCCACACTTTGGGTCAGCGGCCCATAACGGCGTCTTAAGTTTTTTTTCTGCCTTTATTGGGTGGGAGGGGATTCCGTGGGCGGGCGGCTAATCCTGCCTTTTAGGGCCTAAGCAGCTTCTTTTTGCGCGACTGCAAATTTATGCAAATTGCTGATTGAATTCAAAATTTCGAACTCGAAATTTGAAATTCTCGCGTCGACAAATATGGCAACACGCCCTGCCTACGAAATGAATTCGGTTCGCGAGTCGCCAAAGATAGCGACCAGGCGACAGCGGAGACGCCATGAATCAAAAATTGTATAAATCGTATCAAGATCTTGGCGAGAGTCAAGGTCTTTCGCCGTGGCCACGGCCCACATCTTGGGCTTTGGAGGAAGGGAGGGGAGTCCGAGGAGGGGCATACATAGGTAGTCCGCTGGCATAATTAACATGCGCCAGAGATGCCAACGACTTGTCAGTTGGGGCATAAAACACAGAAAAAACACAGAATGAGTCCCAGCAAACAAAGGCAAGAGATCCAACCAGAAATTCCCTCGCTGGTGGGTGTCTCGAAGTAATCTCCAGCAATGGATCCACTTATTTCGGATCCATTGGGTATTTTGGATTACAGTTCCTAGTCTGACTGCACTGACCCCATGCAGGGGTTCCAGTTTTCAGCCCGGGAGGAGATCGGCGTGAGTTCTTTTATGATTTCTGCAGAGTTTTATGGATAATTCTTAGCTGTGAGTTTACCACAAACATTGCTGTCTTAGGAATCTGACTTAGAATGGGATATATTAGGTGTTTGGAGTTGAGATACTAATAGGGCATAATGGCATGGATGATAGCAAAACATCATACAGTAGAACATAGTTTATGGTCTTTGAATTTTAACCTTTGAATCAAAGAACTTTCACTTGGCAATGTTTTTCCAGGAATTGTCCTACGTGAGATCATCCTACCTACTAATCTGTAACTTCCTAATGAGATTCTTTCCCATGTTAAAAAAAGTACTAACTATCTTTTGCTAGCTTTCCCCTTCTTTACCTGCTAAAAAACACCGTTTAAAAGAATAAAAAAAACACTCTCTAATTGCCGACCTTTTCGCAGTCTAACTTTCCTCATAATCGCGTCTGACGGTCGTGTCCAGTCTTCTGGCCATTTCATCTGACCCGTTGCAGAAACCGCTCACTTTCGGTTAACAAATCTCCGGCTGACCTCGATGCAGGCCACACACACACTGGCTACAGCTCCAACCTCCGACTCTACAACGCACGTAAAAGGGCTGGGAAAATAGAAAGAACTTTGCGCTTTTCATTAATAAAGTGCCGCTGTCCGTCTGTGCCAGTAACACATATATTACATAGTAAAGACCTGGCCAGCGGGCAAGTAATCAAGTGAGTTGTGTGCCATACCCGGAGTTACGCGGAGTAACCAGTTACGTTTTATGACCTGGTCCGACCGTAGATGGCCGGCGTTGCGGGCGGCTAATGAAAAGAAATGAAGTCCGAGTCGGAGGTTGTGGGGCATTCGGTAGGAAGTTCTCAAAACGTGAAAAGATTGGGCAATATTGCTGCAGCTCCCCATTTGGCTGGCTGGCTGGCTGGCTACTGGCTGCTGGCTATGATTTTCCCGCACTTTATGGGCCGCGTTTTCGGGGAAATGCTGCAAGTCCAAGAGTAATAACTCCATGGCTTGGCTGTCACTTCTGCCGCTTCATTGCGGAAACCATTCAAACGAAATTTCCCCCATCGCGCGACAAATTTCGGACACCCAAGTGGAGAGGAAGCCAGCTCTAAACGGCGATTACCGGCCGGCTCAGGTGAGATCCACGCTGATGACAGAACCGAAATAACGCTACTTTACGACTGCTACATGTGGCAGCCCCAAATTTATGTGGAAGTAAAACACGACACATCCCGGCCAGATACAAATAAATACGGCTAGCGACAGTTTATTAATTATGATGGAAAGCCCTATCCTCTAATCCCTTCAAACGAACGATGGCGCCACGGGTCATAAGCTCCCTAAAATCCCTTGGGCGGAAATTCGGAAAATGTTTGTCCAGCATAAAAGACATGCCAAAGGCGGAAATTGATTTATAGAGTGTTTGGCTGTAAGGCGATCCTATTGTGTCAACACGTGTTGAAAAATATCACAAAAAGATGTATGGATTTTGAACATTCAGGGGGGTTTTATCTTCTCTGATTAATATTACAAAAAGAGGTGCACTTATCAGAAACTTATAAACAGCTTATAGATCACACTCGATACATTTCCGCCTTTGGATAACTTCAAAAGCTCAGGGTCTTCTGTAACCTATAAACTATATCCTATATCCTATATCCTATATCACCCTCTGATAAGCAGCGACAATTGCTGATGGCTGATGCCTCGGAACATCCCACGAGGCCAGACGAAAATAGCTAGGCAAAGCCACGACACGGCCAATAAACCTCAAATTATATGTGCTATATGTGCTTTATATATAGAATAGAGGCGACACATTAAAACAAATTGAAATTACCAAATGCATCTATGAAATTTATCGCACGACACCCAGACTGACTAAAAAGATACAATGAAAGGAGACGGAGCGGCGAGGGATTAATTTATGGACATCAATCTCAATACCGCAGTATCCAACGAGCAGCCCATTGCCCCCACATCCCCAGCTGTCTGCTCTGCTCCTCCGAAATTTGTGTGTTTGTTGTTTCGGGTTGGAAATTTATTTTTAATATTTTTTCGTAGCGATTTTTCGTCTGCATTCGCCGCCGCCTGTTGCCATTGTGGGCGGCCAAGCCCGATCCGAAAACACAATAAATTAAGAATATTTATTTGTTTGCGGTAATTGATGATAATTGATGATTATGTGCCTCATTCCCAGCCACTGGAGTCCGTCGAGCCGTGGGCATCGGCGAATGCAACTGCCAGTCCGAGTGTTGAATGGCTTTTAATTAATTCCGAAAAAGGTTATATGAAGTTGACCCCTCATTACAGTAAATCTGAAAAGCTGCGTGGGTCCCCCGCCAGGAAGTGATTTAATATTGAATGCTGACGGACGGATGCAATAAGAACAAAAAAATTAACCCAGATCGAAGATTTTCTTAAGTTTTCAAGAAAGCTCGTATATAAACTCTGCTGCCCAGCGGATCACATCCCATATTGTCTAGTGGTTAGGATATCCGGCTCTCACCCGGAAGGCCCGGGTTCAATTCCCGGTATGGGAACTATGGTGATATTCTTTTTGTAATTGGGGCTATTAAATAGTAGTTTAATTAATAAGTACCAGGATATTTTAAAATTTAAACGAACTATCCAAAATACCTAATCGTTATCCAACACTACCTAGCTGTGGATCACAAGTCCCATATTGTCTAGTGGTTAGGATATCCGGCTCTCACCCGGAAGGCCCGGGTTCAATTCCCGGTATGGGAAATATGGTCGAGATGAATTTTCCTTTTTGTGCGCACTAATAACAAAATAAGAGAGCACATTAAAATAAAATTATTCAAAAATCAATTAAGTAAAGGATATTGTCTATTAAGATTGTTTATTTATATTTGTTTAAAAAAATTGGAATTCTCTTAGTCGTTATCTAACACTGCTCATCAAAGGACATTAAGTCCCATATTGTCTAGTGGTTAGGATATCCGGCTCTCACCCGGAAGGCCCGGGTTCAATTCCCGGTATGGGAAGTATGGTTGATTCTATTTTTTAAATAAATGAAATCTTTTTTGAGAAAAATGTTGAGTTTTCATCGACTCTCATCGTCTTTCTCCGACTTAATTGTCGCCTATTCAACTGGAAACGTAAATTTATACCTCAGATAAAACTATTTTCTACTAAGTATGGAAAAGTCGAGCAATTTAACCGATCACGTGTATAGAAGAGCTGAAACACGTGATAGACACCGCCGAAATGCCATATTTTATCAGGATGAAGACGATGAGGATGTTATATATGAGGATCGAACAGCTCTCCAGACTGGCAGAAGAGTTGAGAACTCATACAGGAAATGTTATATTAACACCAAAGAAACTACGAAAAGTTATCTTAACAATAATTCGAATCATGATCAATCAGAGTCTAAAGAATACAGAGAAGGCAGTCCCGAAGGAGATGCTCCCATATATCCCTTAAATCCACCGGACGATCCAAAGGATCCTGACCAAGATTGTGATCCTGCAGAACGTAGCCGCATATTCCGTTCGAAGTGCACAGACAAGTCCTTGCCTTATGTGATCGCAGGATATGTTGTCGGTTTATTAATGGTCTTGATCTGGTATTACAGACATCCAGAAAAAGCATGCCGCGATCTAAATGGAAAATGGGTTTTCATTGTCTTGTTTTTTCTTCTGTTGATCATATTAGTTCAGAGACGTCCAGCAAGGTGGGTTTATTTAGTCAAAGGTCCTTGATAATAGACTCCTCTTCCAGGTGCATTGCAGCCCTATGCCTTGCAAGCCTAGCAAGCTATCAATTTCGGGCAGTGATTATAGCTCTAGCTTTCTTGGTGGCGTGTCTGGGACCTGTTAAAAATATAATCCACAACATATGCATCATGGCGAACTCTGCATCCTGCGGACAAAATGTTCTGAAACAGGCACTGAGGCTCATGCAACGTATTATATATGATCCTTCTCGATCGGTGGAAGAAGCTTTTCAATCCACTTTGTCTGACGCTCGCAGGCTCATGGATAAGTTAGACAGGCTTTTAATGAGCCTAGAGGGACCCATAGCCCAAATACGTTAGTATGTTAGTAAGTATAGATTCAGCTTAAGGAATCCTGTCACCTGCAGATGCCACATATAACACCTGCACTAGTTGGTTGACCTTGCAACGGGATCACTTTGACGTCAAGATGGGGACTCCCTACAATCGCTGCTTGAAGGCAGGGAACCTGAGTATTTCTCAGTGCAAAAGTGAATTCCGCAAGGAAACTAAAAATTGTTGCAATCAACAACGATTCGCTTGGTTCTGTGATAGTCTAAAGGGCGTGAAAAGCTTTTTCGATGATAATCTTCAATGGTCCCAGATGATCATTGAGGAAATATTCCAACGTGCGTTTTTAAGTTATTTTTTACTATCCAACTAGAACTTTGAATATCTTACAGGCTTGCATTTATGCTTCATAAAAATCAGGTTCATTTTTATAACCACCATTAGTTTTGATCACACTTCGAAATTGAATTCATCAAGTTCTCTAACCACCAACAAAGATCTTGTAAACGACGATCAGGATATAGGTAAACACTTTGAGTTGCAGAGACGAAAGTTCTTGATTGTCTTTCTGTGGCTTGATTTGATTATCTTTGTACTCCTGCTGACTGTGATCCTTCAATCGCTGTACTTCTGGTTCCGCTACTTGGCAGGTGACAGCTTTGAGAATATCTATATAACAAAAGATCTAGAGAACTATGATGATGATTACTATGAGGTTATGGGAGCTCGGGCCTTGCCCTTGAGCAGCTGTGAAGAAAATGAATATGTGAAGGTATAGTCCGAATTGATATTAAAAAATAAATTGCTAATAGGAATTTTCAGCTAAGTTCCAGGAGGCTTCTACCCAGAGAGTACAGTACTATATGTCGTTCGTGGATGTTTCTGATGATCACGGGAATCCAGCTTTTCTGTATTTGCTATGTGGACTACAGTCTCTATAGTATGCTTACTTTAATGTCCAGTCATGGACAAATGGTCTCAACTGATCTTCAATGTAAGGTTAAATCGCAGATAATTATTTATTTTAAATATGAATTTTACAGCTTCTGCTTACGAAAAGATTGTTATTAAAGGCGGCGGTATAATAGGTGACATCCTACGAGATCTCGTTCATGCTTTTGAGCCAAAAACCTTTAAGATTAATACCCAAAGATGCCTACCAGTTCCAGGGAAGCCAAAATATCTCCGATATATATGGATCTTATTGCTATATCTGCTGGCCTGGTTTATGGTCTTTTGGGAGCCATATGGACTCCGTCAAAGACACCGCATCATGGTCTACTTTTATCCACAGAATTCAAAGCGAAGAGCTCGCAAGTTGCACTACATCATCTTAAAGGAAAGAAGTAAGCTATGACTAGAGATATAATGCTTAATTTTAAAATTAATGGTTTTATTTTAGAAAATTTGTTTAAGGATAGATGTCAGCAAGCACGACTATTAAACGCATTTGAGAACAACAATCAGCTTTTAATATGCATTCCGTGGCTTAATTCCCTCTTAAGATGGTTTGGTTCACCAACATATTTGTAAAACATTTCGTAAAACTAAAATCTTTCAGGTGTCGTTGTCGAGGATCTGTTCTTTGCAAATGCTGCACCATTTGCAAAAAACCGTTGACAAAGTTTGTAACTTATTAAACGTTATAAAAAGTTATTTCAATAACCTTCCCGTTCAACAGATATGATAATAACCCCTGCGATTTGCCATCCTGCAGGGGAATCTACTGTAATATGTGCTTCCAAGACTGTCACAATGTGTGTATTTTGTGCAGTGTCCCATTCGACACTGATATATTTGAGCTTGGGTAACATAAACTAATGTTCATTATTTTATTAGATATTCATCTTTGCATCTTGTTTTAGGAATTCTTCTAGCGAATCCGATGCTGACTGCAGTCTTGGAAACACTAACACCCAGCAGCGAGATAAAAAAGCGTAGAGCTTTATTTAAAAAATTTTGGAGAAACTATAACAATTATAGTTGGCTGCGTCATTATCATATCCCATATTGTCTAGTGGTTAGGATATCCGGCTCTCACCCGGAAGGCCCGGGTTCAATTCCCGGTATGGGAACATGTGGTGACTTTTTTTAAATAAAGTTATTAAATATTTTTTTTATTTACAGCATTTCTGATTTTAATATTTTAACAAAGATTTCTGAACTTCAATTATAGTCATCTGTTGACTAATAAACAAATAAGCGACTCATATTATCAAGGTCAAGGTATTCATTTTGAATAACAAACGCTATAAATAAAACGCTTAGCTTGCACAGTCGACGAATCGTCATGTTTACATACACTATTTAGCCGCGTCGAATCGCAAGTCCCATATTGTCTAGTGGTTAGGATATCCGGCTCTCACCCGGAAGGCCCGGGTTCAATTCCCGGTATGGGAAGCAGTTGTGGACATTTTTTTTTTTTACTTTTTATTACACTTTCCTTTTTTTTAAAGGTGCTTAAAATATCTACCCAAAAAAAAACATAGCCTCATTCGATTAAAAGTTTCTTCTAAATAAAAGTCCTTCGTAATTTGGTGTTTTCTTTTGTTTATCCCTTTTGAAGCATTTAATTGAATTCCAATAAGTTTGTAAATCTATTTGCTATCCAAAGTTTTCTTTTAATTTGCCGACGTATAACTTGTGTTTTCTTATTATTATGCTCTCAACTAAATTCACTTAAGTCCCAGCTTAGTTTTCCCCAACCTTCATGAGTAATTTTCTATCCCATTACCTAATTTCCTCGTACTCAATGGTCAAGGGTCCTTCTTTAATCCAAATAACTTTCAGCATAATTTTCTAATTCAATCGGTGGTCCTTTTTGGGAAAACAAACCTAAAGTTCCGTGTTTTTTCTGGGCCCGGGTGAGGGTGATGGCGATGGGGATGGCGATGGCGATGGGCTAACCTGCGGGTCTGAGTTACGAGACAGTTTCAAAACGGTTCCAGTTCAAGCGAAACGGACAGATTTTACGAGCCGCCTGCCAACTGAAAGTAAACTACAAATGTTTACACAACCGGAGGACCAAGGACTTGGGGTGGAGAGTTGGGACAGCCTGGAAAAGTTGGAGCAAAAATTGAAAAACTTTTGCCATCGCCTTGTTTTTTTATGATGATGACGACGACGACGACTACGCCGACTGCCGTTCGATGAAAACGCCTATTTTTGGAAAAGGGGACGCTCCCCAGCCACGCCTCCTCGCCGCCCCTCTCGGAAGTAGGACAGATAAATATAAAATTCGGCGAAAAGTTTTCCACACGTCTGGCTGCTTTCCCTGGTTTCAAATTCCTTGCAATTGAAATGGGTTTCCCTTTATGGAAAGTGGCTTCTGTGGAGCTACTTAAGCCCAAGATACAAAAGTATCTTTGCCTTTCAAACCCAACTGCATGCGCGAGACAGAAGGAAATGGATCTGAATCCTGGGGGATTTGCATTTTCCCCTTCTGTCTAATTGTCTGGAAAATTGCAAGAAAATAATTCGCTAAATGCAAATGGCAGACACTCCCGTCTTGCGTAAATATTTAAGCGATTGAGTATTTCTGCTTCGATTGCGGGGTTAGAAGTTGGACTTGCCCACTCGAACCCCTTTGCGGTTACATTCTGAGCTTAATCAGGCCCCTCTCATCACGCACAGGTTCTCGCATTACACGCGGTTGGCTTTTCCTCCCCCAGCCCTCTGTTTTCCAGCTTTTCCTGCGGTTTGGCAATTTTGTTAAAGATACAAAGCGCCGATACGGAACAATGAGATGTGTGTGAGCTGTGAGGTGAGAACAAAGCGTTCCCAGCCACAAAAAGAGCGGAAAAACGAGAATGGGTAACCGGAATTTGCATAGAGGAGCAGACTCTACGGTGGCTCAGAGTGCGAGGATTCAGGGGAAAATAATATTAAAAGATGAAATTTACTTTACTTTGCTTTACTTTATGTACTTCTTTCTCGATGTTCCTCTTTCATTTCATAAAGATGATCTAAATAATTTCTTAAGGTAATATTACTTCATAAGCCTCACAGTTAGCCATGCTACTTGTTCCACTGTCCTATTTAGGAATGATATCTGGCTCGCAGTTTTCCCAACAAAGGAGATCCCGCAAAGAAAAGCCACAGTGCAACAAAACCCGAAAAGCCGGCGAATCTTTTCATTCCGCGAGGCAACGAGTCAACGAGCAGAATGGAGAAAGGAGAAAGGAGGTCCTCCTCGTAATTGCAGCTCCACGGACAGAGTGACCACGCCCACTCAATGAGCAAACACTTTTCAAATGGAAGGTGTGCCCGCCACGGGGTGATAGTATTCCTAATTACAACTTTAAAGGCGGGGGCACATGCGAAGCCAAATTAATGTTGTCCGTGGAGTCCTGTCCGGGTTCTTTAAAGGACGGGTTAGTGCAATTTTTTTGATCGCCGAATCGCGTGTCACAGCCAGTTTCCGCCCCCCACCAACGGCACTTCCACTTCTAACAGGTTCAAGTGCAATTTAATTGAGCGAAATGCATAAGGGAACGCAAACACAAATTAAAAGCGACATTTTTATTTGCGGTTTTCGGACCGCTCGAATTAATATGGCGTCGCAGTGACACAGGAAAATGGCTTTAATTGCAATTAGAAAGTTGGCAGTGCTGCTAAATAACACTTAAAGTGGGATTATGGGCTAGTATAATAGGGCCAAAGGTCACTGGAAACGTAAACGAGTTGGTTTTTAGTTCGACCGACCAAATGGCAGGCCTTAAGAGTTGATAATAGAAATCTTATTTTATTTCTAACCACAATGGCAACAAAGGAAAGTGAAAACCAGGTAATGAAAGGTGAAAATGGGGAAAGGCATTTACTCATTCTATCGGCAGGTCGTAAACAAGGAATTTCTCCTATACACGATGCTACACATGAGATAAGCAAGTGCAGTGGCGCTAACAGGATCATAAATCCAGCGATATAAATCTGAGAAATCGGAGGAGTGAGTGTGTGTGTGTGTGTGTGGGACCCCAGTTCCCCCTATTCCTCTCCCTTTTCCAGGTGATAAACCCTCGCACACGTCGAAGATTTTGAATTACTTTCGCTTTTATCGCCGGTTTTCATAATTTACACGCGACCTGCCTAGGAAACGACGAGGATTCGGATTAAATCGGCCGAGGTGAGAGAGTGGAATAATGCTGACGACTCACTTCATCATAAATTCACCTGTCGTTGCCAGTCCATCGAGGAGCCAGGAAAAAACCGGACCTGCTTCCGTTGCCCAACATTGTCCTGGGAAAATCAAAGAGGAGGGAGACAGGTCTTCGTCCAAAGGAAATTTATGAATTTCGTTGGCGTGGCGAGTGCGCGAAAATTTCGTGGAATTTTGAGGCTGCTCAGGTCGGAGACGTTGTCGCGTCATTCGAATTGAAATTTCATTAGTTTTACGAGGGGCCCAGCCTTCGATGGGTTTACGACGCTTCCAGGGAAATCCACGCCGTAGAACTGGGCAGAGCCAGCCCGGAGTCGAGTCAACACGATGCGATGCGATGAATTATGGAAAGCGATTTACATTCGCTGGCTCATATTTTATTGCTGCTTGTTAATGTTTTCATTGCTGCTCTTTTTCTCCATTTTCCCGACGCTTTTCTTATTTGGCGAATGCATGAATTATGGATTTTCCCCTTATGGCGATGCCAAAGAATGCAAGCAGCGAAAAAGTGGAATTTGTTTTCATTGTTGGAAAATTCTGTGCAAATTTATTGAATTATTTAAGAAGGCGGGAATGGGGTAACCAATCCTTGTCGGTTTCGCGAAATGGATGCGATCTGGGAGCCAAGAAGGATATCCTTTGACAAACTTTCACAAGAAAATCGTAAGGATATTAAAGTCTTTAAAGATTCATAATGTAGAGAAGACTCCAGCTGAGAAGCCTGAAGATTTTCCAATATTTCAGGCAAATTGAAGTAGATTCCCAAGCATATGCTAGGTAAGATGATATAGCTTCCGTTTAAATAAAAAACCGGGTTTATTACACGCTGCAGTTTCATCCAAAGTTCCGCCAGAGGGCGTCGCCAGACTGAACCAGTGCTGACCTCATTGGACAGCCATAAAAAAGGAGGCGAACGGCCACTCGAACGCAATAAAAATGTATCAAGAGCGGCGTCGAAAGGGAAAAGCGCAGCGAGATAGAGGGAAATGGCAGCTGACATTAGTGCTGCGAGCGGAGAATTGTTATATTCTTAACAATATTCCGGATATTTATGACCCGTACTGGGCACTGGGTCTGGATCCCATCGCAGTGGCCGCTCAAATGGAGCGTGTCCCGTGCTCCAGTTGCCATTCCATTTGTCCTGAATACTATACACTGAATACTGAGCACTGAGCACTGGAACACTGAATGTCGGATGCTGAATATGCGTGAAAAATGTTGCGAAAAATTTTAATGCGCTCGCTGCGGGCGCCAAATGGAAATGGATGGGGGCTTGGGAAAACGAGAAAATGGGAAAAATGGAAAGATGACAAATGATTATGGAGCATAATAAATTTCAGCGCTGATTGAGCGACTGCAGCTGGGAGGAATCGCATGCAAAAATAGTAGAATCTAGTGGTTCGTTCGTTCGCCTCCTTCTCCTCTGGGAGTAAGTCATCCATTAATGAAGCTAATTTGCTGCACAAATCCCGACGAAGCTTTCCTCTCTTTCAAATCCCATTTTCCAAGTCGGGCCAAAGCAGCAAGCTGAGCACAAGCAGCCGGGAAAAGTTGATCCTGGCTGCTTATGGCTGACACGAGTGTCATCCACTCCCATCATATCTTAGAGTCCTTCTATTTACCCACCCACCCATTTTCCGGCTTTTCCCCCCCTAGCAAATAACTGAGAAATTGCAGTGGCAGCAAGTTTATTGTCTCCGGAGCTCCGGATCCTTGGACACACACATGAACCTAGCCAGAGTGAATCCTCTGCTCAAGGAGTTTAAATTTATTTTCCTCGAGTGCTTCCCTGCAATTGCAAGTGAA